AACTGAGTGTCTTGTATTCTTATTTGCTAAACTGAGCAAGCATGCTCCCAGGGTAATTTTGATTGCTTCTGACCTTTACCACCTACTTTTACTGTAGGACCTTAACATTCGCCTGGGAGAAGCTTCCATTAATACTTTCTTCACTTCTCAGGACAACCCTGAGAGCTAGGGATCATCATTTTAGCAAAATTTCCTTCTCAGACTTRGATGGTTTTTTCGATTAACCGGTACAGACCTGAATGTTTCATCCTTCCAGAGGGTATTCAGGTCCCAAAGACACAGATATCAATAGAACCATGAAAGTACTTTCACTAACTAAAAGCAAGTTCTCCGGGTGGTCTGTGGTCCCTGTGATGGGGACAGTGTATCTATCCCCCAAAATACTACTAGTCATAATAACAATGGTAGGAGCCAGCAGAACCAGGGAACACTGAGCCCGCTTAATGTGTATCAGGAACATAACTGCTCCCAATGGGCAGAGAAAGGAATCTGAGGCACAAGGAGGGTAAGGTACTTGTTCTTCTCATTATTCAAGTGTGGACTACACCTCATCTTCTCAGGGGATACCCAAGAAGTTGGCTACTCCTGAGATGAGCCCCTTCCCTCCCCACACTTTCACAAGTTTCTTGGTGAGAGAAAGCTGACTGTCTAAAATCTTTCTAGGCAGGTGAGCCCCACCCAGTGCCATTCCTGTTTGCTAATCCCATCTCACTAAAAATCAACCACTTACWGTCTGCCCCAGCAGGAGCAGGTTAAATAAATGGTATGTTAATGACTAGACTCCACCTTTTCCTTAGGGCAACCTAAAGCCTTGTGGCAGGTTCATCTAAAACCACACTCCGCTGTGAAAACTCACCCTAGGCAAACAATACCTTTTGGATAAGATACAGTTTCAAATCCTTAGGGCTTCCAGGTTCTTAGTTTGCTTACAGGAAGTGGAATTTTATTCTCAATTGCAGCAGGTTTAATTTCCAAGTCACTTGAGTGGATTGTCTAGGACACAAGTCTTACCAATCATCAGGGCCTTCCCCAGGCTCCCCATTCCTACAGAGACTACATACTCATTCAGGGGTTCCTGACCGACCAGTCAGTAATTTTTTTTTTCTTGTTTTGGTACCAGGGTTTGAACCCAGGAGTATTTAATCATTGAGCCACATCCCCAGCCCTTTGTTATATTTTATTTAGTGACAGGGTCTCTCTGAGTTGTTTAAGGCCTAGCYAACTAGCTGAGGCTGGCTTTGAACTTGCTATCCTCCTGCTTCAGCCTCCAGGATTATAGATTTGCGCTATTGTGCAGGGCTCCTGATCAACATCTTAAGCATCCAAAGCCTCTAGCTCAGTCCTCACTTTGACCTAAGGCAAACAGAAGAAAAGTAGTTCTGCAGCTTGGTTTGCAAAGGACAGATTTGATACAGTTGGAAGCAATAGACAAGAATAAATGTATTACAGTGAGTTCTTCATATCCATGGTTCCCCTTCTCGGGATTCAACCCCATGGATGGAAAACTGCAGATAAAACAAAACAAAACAAAAAACGCATCTGTACTTGTACAATAGACATTTTCTTTGTCCTTAGTCCCTAAACAACCAGTACAACTCTTTTTAAACCTTGTAATATTAGATATTATAAGTAATCTAGAGATGATTTGATGTATACTGGAGGATGGACATAGGCTACATGTAAACACTCTGCTATTTTATACAACGGATTTGAGAACGTGCAGATTTTGGTATCCTACAGGAAGGTTCTGGAATCAATCCCCCATGGACACAGGCTGACAACTATATTTGTATAGGTGTGTGAGTTCTGTCTACGCAGAGAAATGCATCTCCTTCTGCAGTGCACCATTGGAATTGCCTGAGAACTATATGTTTTATACATATGTAAAATATATAGTTCTCAGGCAATATATATATATAATATATATACACACACACACATTTTAAATCTCCAGACCCATTAAATCAGACTCCCTGKGGTGAGTTTTGTATTTTCAAGTTTCCTAGTTGATTCCAATGGGCACCCAGGGTTGGGCTGTTCTAAAGAAAACCACATGCTTTCATTTGGGAGCCTTTAGGAGGGAAATAGCCTTCTCTTTAAAAACCATGTAAAAACAGAGTTTTCCAATATGATTAGTTTTTGTTTTACTTCCTAGTTCCTGTAAACAACTTCCAAGGGTGGGCACAATGGTGCCATCTGTAAGGCATATGACGATAACAGACGGTCGCCCCATAACCAGAAAGGCATTAGTGGTCGCAGACTCTAAATTATTTGGATTCATCTGGTGTGATTCCAGTCGCTTGAAGCCCCTTAATGCTTGATTTCTGCATCTTCCCATGGCAGGAGCACAAGTGGRAAGACCGTATTTTCTAGGCTTCGCATTGTTCTCTGTCATTCCATTGAGTTGTTACAAGATGGATTTATAGCAGACCTAAAGGTAGTATCGAAATGAAAATTAGTTCCTGAGTGGAATAGCAATCCCACTCTCTTTGCCTGTAGCAACCACGTCATCTCGTCATCACTGCCTCTGCGAGGAAGGAAATGACTTCTTAATGTGGTTTTCTTCCACTAAGGAGAATTAAATCTATGTGGCAAAAATGTAAAACTAGTATGCTGGCAGCCAAATTCTGAAAGGAAGATCCATGACCCTCATAAACATATTTGTGGCCCAGTTATATGCTAATGAGCGTCATTTAGGCTCTGACTTAGTGTGGAAATAGAGCTCAGTTGGAGAGCAAGGCGGTCTTTCTCTCACTGTTTTGCCTTCTGTAGCAAAGTTTGCCCGAAGTGGAGGGGGGAAACTTCTCCACCTCCCAGGAGCTGTCAGGGTGAGGTCTCTGGATTAGTTTTAGTTGATAGTCTTTTTTGCTAAATTGACAAGATTATTTGCAAAGGCTCTGATTTTGAGGTGAATTTGTGTGGAGGAGTGGGACAGTATCCTCACCAGAACAGAGGTCAAAAGGGAGGTGAACCTCCATTCAGGCTGTGAGGGTCCTTGATCAGGATTTAATAATGGGTCAGAGTGAGTTATGACTCACTTGATTTCAGAGAAAAAGACAGAGTGCAGGTGTTGAAGAGGAACATGCTAGCTACCCCTTAGGTAGGCGTGTTTTTACGCTGAAGATTTATAGCACAGACGTGATCTAAGAGGGTGTCATTGGTTCTCCTTTGTGTTGGTGACTAGGGGTCATTTTCCTTCTTTGTTTTTGATGAAAGACCTCTAATATCTTCTGTCAGGGGGTTTTGTCATTCTGCTTTGTATTCATGGGGTGACACTGAAGGTTTGATTACTTCATCTATACATCACCTTGTAATCAGGTCCTAAAAATATAAATCACAAAAATATCTACTTGTTGAGCAAAGGCATTCTCAGACCTATTTTAGGTTCAGGTCAAGAAAGAAGTTATTTATGGACTTGCGAGTAAGTTCTGATAAATTGATGCAACGGTGCTGTTTGTGATCAAAATATGTGAAAGTGAACTTTAATTGTGGACTTTCAGCCAAACCCATAATCCCAGCAATTTGGGAGGTAGAGGCAGGAGGATCACAAATTTGAGGCCACCCTTAGCAATTTAGGGAGAACTTTTCTCAAAACAAAAAGGTCTGGGCCATAGCTCAGTGGTCCCTTCGCCTTCTGAACATAGCCCTCATTGCTCTAAGGTTTATTTTTTTAAAAAAAGAAAAAAAAGTTTTCTTCCTGTAGTTGATGGATCTGGGAAGTGAATCCTAACAACCATCACAGTGCCCTTGGACCCCCTACCAGAGTATACCTGGAATGTCACCCTTGAAGTTCCTTTAAATAGCCCCTGTCCCTCCTGATGGGGGAAGTCACAGCCTTTGGGACCCGAGTCCCTCCTTTGCTAGCAAAGGAATAAACCTTCTCCTAGTTATTAAATTGGCATTGGGGACAGGGACCACCAAGATTTTAGTTACAGGCTCAATCCCCGAAAAAAAAAAAAATAACAAATCTGAATGTTTAATCCATGTGAAAGTGGACCCTCCAGGATCCACAGGTGAAGGTTTTAGGGACAACCCTCATGCCTACCATTACTGCTTGGGTGACTTTTCACAAGTGAATATTACTTCCACGGGTCTTAGTAAAAAAGTAAAAACTGTCTAATGGGTTATTTTAAAGATTAAATGAAATAATGCACAGTAAAGAAACTGCTCTTTGCATCATTCATCTCAATGGACTTAACACAAAATACTATATTATGGGGAAGGTACACCTTCAGCATGTTAGAATGTATAGAACCACATGGAGGAATAACAGACTTACATAAGAAAATTAAGGGAGAGGGGATTGAGCTTTTCTAAGAAATAAGAGAGTTCTGAAAACTTCTGATAGAAATTTYATTCACTCTATATGTAATCATGAGACCTACACAAGATGTATAAAAAATATGAGTATCTGAGGAGGATTTCAAAATAATTGACGAAGACCAAGTGTTAATGGTTTTCTCATCAACTTGTTTGCCGGCTCAAGGCCTCTCTTGCTGGAAATGCTCCTTTCTTACTTGGTAGTCATCGTCCCTATGTTGTTATCATAAATTTGTTGGACAATTTTGTTTCACAGAACAGGTACTCAGAGCTCATGTGAGAGGCTAAGCAGAAGACTGTGGCAGGTAGACCACGGGCCAGCCTGGGGGAAATGGCCACTGGTAGGTGGCAAATTCATACTTTTAGGCTTTGGGAAGTAAAATAAATGAATGATGCCTGCCACACCTAAGAAAGCTAAAGAGTAGGGGGACTGTGAAYGGCAGAAGGCCCCCCAACAACTAGCCACCTCACTCTGTCCTCAGCAGACGGCCACCATGTACCTAATCTGGTTTTATCAGAGAAACTGGAAATGTGGATTCATTTGTGTAGTCTCCTTATTTTCGAATTTTGGCAATTAACCTAATCAAGAAACACACACTGACCAGCAGCTAATCTGCAGTCCTCCCAACATTTATTCAATGAGATCCCATTAATGAGCCAATCCCATTTTCTCTCCAAAGCTCCAGAAACATGACAAAGAGGGAGTGGACTCCCCAGCCTCCTGGAGATCAGAGGAGGAAATGGCGGCGGAAGCTGCAGCTCTGAGGGTCTACTTTCAATGACAGGTAAAGACTGTGCACTTTATCATCACCAAAACACTCCACTGGCAAGGGGGACAAAGATAAGCAGCTTAACCAATATCTTCAGCTGGTGACTGCAAAAGTCGCAACAGCTGAAGTGGAGAAAACTAGGCTCTTTAAGGAATTTATTTCCAGCACCCTTCCGCTCCAGACCTGCTCTTCCTGTCTCTCCTCCAGGGCTGTGGCTCTCCATTCCAACAGCTACACAGCAGATGGTGGGTAAAGCAAACCTGGTTGTTTGAAATGTCCAAACCCTCTAAAGGTGTGACAGTGCCCTCAGGCTCCAGATTCTTTGTCCTTCAGCCTCACCCAGGTAGACTCCTTTCTCTGTTGCTGCTATTTGGTAAATTTCTCTTAAGGTGCTAGGAAGCTCAGGCGATAGGGAAAAATTAGGACTTGTTAAGATTTTGCATTAAAGATGTTTAACTGTTGCTAGAATAAGATTGTGGTAGAAAGCTACAATTTCCTGTTTTAGAATTCATGCTTAGAATAAATTTTTTTCCAATGGATATTATACATTGATCTTCTGACATTTGTTCATAAGTAGGATTGCCATGCAATACTGGGAGCAGACTGGAAAATTATTGTTTATCTGAAATTCAAATGTAAACTGGCTGTCCTGCATTTTATTTTATTTTGGTACTGGATTGAACTCAGGGTTGCTTTACCATTAAGTAACATACCTACCCCTTTTATTTTAAGATTAAGTGGCCTAGGCTGGCCTCTAGTGATTCTCCTGCCTCAGCTTCTTGAGTCGCTGGGATTGCAGGTATGCACAACTGGTTGTCGTACACTTTAATGGACCTCAGATAAACATCCTTTAAATAATTCTTTTTCCTTTTAGAATTAGATGCTTCTTCCTTTAGCCTGTTTATAAGTTGTTGGAACAGATACTAATTTAAAACAAAATTAATGAGCAAATACTGGTAGCAATTGAATTGTATAAAGTTTTGCCAACCACTTAGTAGTCATGATTTTGGCTGGAAAACAATACATTGCACCTTACCCAGGGTTTTGCTTTCCCTAGTTTTAGTTACCCTCCCTCAACTGCAGTACAAAAATATTAGATGGAAAATTGCAGAAATAAGCAATTCATAAATTTTACATTGCATGCCCTCCTGCTCCATCTCCCCCAAGATGAAAAACATTTCTAACTTATCCACACAGTATACACTACCCTCCTGTTAGTCACATCAGAGTTGTCAGATAAACTTTCCAATGTTTATTTTTAAGTGACTAATAATGGGTCCATAGTATAAGAGTAGCAATGCTGGAAATTTGGTTATGCTGCAGAGTGCTTCCTTTAAGTAGCATCATAAGTCTAGTACAATAAGGTATTTTGAGAGAGTTCATATTCACCTAACTTTTTTTTTTAATTTTTAGTTGTATGCAGACACAATACCTTTATTTTTATGTGGTGCTGAGGATCTAACCCAGTGCCTCACAGGAGCTAGGCAAGTGTCCTACCACAACCCCAGCCCTCACATAACTTTTAATATAGTGTATTTTTATAATTGTTTTATTCATTTTTGTTAATGCCTTAATGTATCTGATTTATACATTAAACTATCCTAGGTACATATACAGAGGAAAAACTTAGTATCAAACTCCATATATACTATCTCAGGCTTTAGACATCCACTTGGGGGCAGATACTGTAAAATAACCCCTGCATGTAAGAGGGAACCTCTGTTTACACTTCAAAATGGAAGTTTTATTAGATAATTTAAAATCTATGTGCATTTCTTGTCCCTTCTCTCCCCAATCCCCTTCTCAAAGTATTTTCATTACTTAGAGACCCCAGAGTTCCTCCCCTCCCAGTTCTGTGCAATTGTGGTGAAGGCTCAGGCACTTGCATCAAGAAAGCTCATTTCATTCTCCCTGTCATCTGTGTGTMAGCTCTGCACTTAGTTGCCTGAAGGCACAGAGCATGGTGTAGCAAAAGCTGTCTTTCATATATTATTTTTAACCTTTTCCACTGTTCATCTTCTTTCTTAAAAAAAAGGACCGATAAAATGAACTTTGGTCTATGGGCATGACTACAAACCTCTTTCTATTCTCCTCTCAGAATACCTCCTTTGAAAGAGAACATGTCATTTTGGAGTGCCCTGTTCAAATGGGGGTCACAGATGTTCAGGCTTGACTTTCTAGGCTGAAATTGTTTTCTSAGTTACCTATATAATGGGTATTTTCAGGCAGAGCCAAGAAGGCTCTAGGTTTTTCCTGGGGCTTGCTGAACTCTAAGGGTCTATATTTGAATGCATTTTCTAGATGTTTTAAGAAGATTTAAACTTACAACCTGATTTTGCTTCTGTCTTGCCTTGAGGCCTGACATCTCCTATCTTCCAGGTACATCCATTTGTCTTATGAGTCTTGCCAGAAAGACATTCACCCTAAGAAACATCCTGCAAGCTTCTGTCAAGCCTGCCTGTGTGTTTTTAAATTAACAGATATTTGTATCTCTCTTTAGTTTGGTCTATAAACAACACCCTTAATGACCTCCTGAGCTGTGGGGATTTAGTTAGCACCTTAGAGACCAGGGACTTACACTTAGGGTCCTTCAATTTTACCAAGAACATCCCCTTTACCTGCAATACAATGGGACTGAATATACTTCCCTCTAGACACAAAGGGGAACAGAAACTTGGTCCTTAGGTTATTCCTCATCTTCTTTCACACCCACCTAACTTCCCTTTTCAAAATGCCTCTACCCACTGAATTTTTATACAGTGTTAAATGGTTCATGGAATATTGAAATTTTTTTACTAAATAGAGCAATAATTTTTTTTTAAATCCATTATTTATCTGAAATTCAGATCAACTTGGCCTCTCCCAGCTATCCTGATCRTACCCTCAGGAGCAAGTCAGTCTTAGGCAGAGCAAGTTCAAAGACTTGGCACTTGCTCTGCAAGACCAGATGATTCTCCACACCTAGGAGCTGACAGGATRGGGCACAGCCCAGCATGGATGACTAAAGCCAATTCTTACTGACAGATTCTATGATAATCCTGTGTTGCCAGTGAAGAGAAAACCAAGGCTCTGTGATGTTAAGTGTTATTCTAAGGTACATGGTGGGCCCAGGCTGTCTAACCCAAAGGCCATTTCCTAATCTTTGTACTGCTCACTTCGCTTAAAGAGCTCCCTCTTCCAGCCAGTCCCTTCTCCCTTTCCTAGGACCCCTCAAACATTTTTTTTTTTTGGCTTTTTATCTTATCTGCTGGTTTCTCTGGCTTCCCTGAAAGGTCCCCTCTGTGACCCCTGCCTCCCTTCATGCTGTATCCAGTTACTAGGAATCAAAATGGCCCCAGATTCCCCCAACATTGACTTTACTGATTCCAACCAGGCTGCCCTCCTCCCTCTGTTCTCTACCATCTGAACTCACGGTCAAGAAATGCAACCTTGGGCAGGTTCAGGGGTTCCCAAATTGCATGCATTTTGTCATAGAAGATCACCAAGGGCATCATTTATCTGATTCACTTTTTAAGTTTGGGTACATTAGTCTTAAACTGTGTATCTTAGCCTTGATGAAGAAAAAAAAGACTACTTGTAATTAGAAGTTAAGCATGAAAATATAGTAATAATAAAAATAAAACCGTGCTGGTAGTCATCAGGACTGAAGTTATTTTCTCTTTGTTAGAAAGTGAGGYGGGCCACTCTCAGAGAGGCATTTAATTTCAGCACGAACCTGAGACTCTCCACTTGACCTACTCAGAAAGATAAAAAGAGAATGACCTATACAGAGATCAGTGTAGGTCACCTAAAATTAAACASGCATATGATTCCCATCTTTGGAAAAACAGTAATGGAGGCTGGAAGTGAAACCCGGAGCAAGAGAACTCTAGACTATTCCAACCACTGAGCCAGTCCTTCCTTCAACTAGACATGCTGAGAATACAGGGTGCATGGGGGAAATCCAAGAGTCAACCTTCCTAGGGATACTGGGTCACCATTTTGTCACCAGGCATGAAGTATACACCACAGCTCACTGCCTCCCCCAATCCTGGGGGCACRCTCAGTCTCCAAGCTGAGCATCTTCTGGGGTTTGCTTTTAACACTTGGCTTGCTCAGAGTCTACCTTACAAACCACAGGACTGCAGAGAAGAATCCCTACACCCAAAAAAGAACTGCAAGAGGCAAAGAGTCACTGTCTGCTTGCTTTGGGTTATACCTAGCAAYGCTGATAAGTAAAAACCCCTGTTCTGGATCTATTTTTTTTTTTTTTTGGTGGGGGGAGGGTGGTTGTATTGGGGATTGAACTCAGGGGCACTCAACCACTGAGCCACATCCCCAGCACTAGTTTGGATTTTATTTAGAGACAGGGTCCCACCGAGTTGCTCAGTGCCTCTCTGTGGCTGGCTTTGAACTTGCAATCCTCCTGCCTCAGCCTTCCCAGCCTCGCGCCATCACGCCTGGCTCTGCATCTTCTTTATGTATGAACCCAGACTAATCCTCAGGATGACTTGAGTGCCGTTAGGACCACCGTTAGGACCATAAAGAGAAACATCCCAGAACTATAAGCTCTCTCCTCAGCCTCTTGAAGCTATCACGGCATGCACATCAGTTAGGGGAATTCGCTCTGCCTTCCGGAGGTCTTGGTGTCTTAGCCACCTTCTATTATCCCTGGGCTAGCAGAAAATGACTTTGAATCAGTTTCTGATTCAGCAGTAGTGAAAAASGGACACGGCCTTTGCTGTGCCCAGAGAGGGCCACTGGTTGCTGAATGAAGCTGCATCTCCCTCCTCCCTGCCCACCTGACAGATCCCTGAYGAGGTTGCCAAAGCCTGTGCTTCCAGGAACCAGCATCTACTCTCTGCCTAGGTGAATTAATGCATTGGCTCCCCACACTGGGCTGACTTCCGGGAGAGGGGTTTTGCGACGGCTCTTTCTAAATCACATTAGATGACACTGGATCTCCATTTCTTACCTAACCTTGCCTCCTTCCTGGAGGACGGTAACTCTTTATGCAGGCATGTCACACTCRGATG